AACTTTTGTTGTTACGTATGTAGTAGACGTCACACGCCAGCATCACTTTTTACATGAAGTCTCTTTTTTTAGCCGGTTAATCGATTCAGTAACGTAATAAAAACGACTGTATGTATCCATTCGTCACTCTCATATTGCTCTATCCTCTTGCCCTTCCCCCTCCTCCTCTCTCTCTCCGTATTCTCTGCCATTCGTTGAAGCTTTATGATCCGGTTTTACGGAGGAGGTCGTGTGTAAAGTTTGTTCCCAAATGATTAACTGTTATCAGCGTCGGAAATGTCACCGTACCAAAGTTACCTTGTACATATAGTCTCTCGTTATCTTTGCGAACGACGTTTCCTATCTTCTCCGCGTTCCCTTTTCCCTCCCTCACATACGGCAACGTCGTCTCTTTCCTCCCGGTGTCTTCGCCAACTCTTCGGTAAGCACCCCCTCCCTTCTTCCTCCCCTCTCCCTCTCTCCGTCCTTCATCGCTCGTTCACCCCCTCAGTTTTCTCTCGTGTTACACACACACACACACACACACACACACACACACACACACACACACACACACACACACACACACACAAAAAAAAACACACGGCACTCGATCGAGAAGGAGGTACAGTACCATATTGCGAAGAGAAGTCATATGCATCGTTCGTTATCTATTTGTCTCTTATCTTCTTTATTCGTCGTGAGAGATTGTGCGAGAGTGAAAGAGAGAAAGAGAATGAAAGTACGATGCGCTTACTCGTCGTTAGTATGATCCATACTATTTGTATAATACAACTAGTCGTCACACATGCATGTATAAACACACACACACACACACACACACACAATAAACATATTCTCACGATATGATCTGAAATAATTTATATATGAAACACGTTTTTCATCAATGCCGATAACGGGCCAATTGGAGGAGACACGCTTATTTTTACCTGCGGTGAAATTTACGTGTGAGGAATATTTCTCTACCACGCGCAAGACAGATCAGAAATATCTATAAGTATGCTCGTCATCGTCGAAACTCGTTGCGTCCGCACGCTGCGCAAAACGGTTTTAATCCCTTGCATCGTTCCGACGTATTTCTTGTTATCTACGTTATACATATACCGGAAGATTAAAGGTTTAATTCTGCAACGTAGACCGAGTATGAAACGTACATCTCAAATTGTTGTACTTATATGAAGAAAGAGAGCTCGCGAGGCGATGGTGTATTCCAGTTTTACCTCGTGGGCATAGAGATATTTTATTACATGCAACGCATCAATATTAGAAGGAATGAGGCTATTAAGGAGATTGTAAGGCAAATGCAATATGTCTGGAAACATTGGTAGTGTCTCGGCGCTAGGCTATTAAGAATTACTTGACAAATTTACAGATTATTCGAAATTGCATTTAAAAGTAATACAAAAGAATTAGAGACAGTTTACCATCTGGGTCAAAAGTGATTTCAATAAAAAGCAATATATTTTTCAAATTTGTATTTTAATAGAAATATCTGAAAATGTATTATAAAATAATAATAAAAATCTCCATTTTTTGGTTACATAAGTACTTTATGAATTTTAGAATATTTATGTAAAGTTACATTGAGACGCAGATGTTTAGTTTGTTCAGTAAATAAACAAAATATTTATTTGTTATAAACTAATTAGTGAATCTCAATGAAGCTTTGCATAAGTCATTTTTAATACTTGAAGTACTTGTATAAAAAAATTTTAATTTTTGTTCATAACAATAAAAATTATAACAAATAAAATTAATGATCTATAAAAATGGATTGCTCAATAAAAACGGAATGTTAGGAATTTTTATATGTACGTAGTTTGTTTAAAGCATAAATATGTGTTTTACAACTACTCTCTTACAACCTCCTTAAACTTCAAACAGTTTAGGTTGCTAACAATTTCCTCGTAAAACCGAGCTTTAACGTGTGCGCAAGTGTTACGATAATACCGTCGTCAATGTCGTAATGTAAATGTCTTCGTATCTTTGAATTCTTAAAGACTCGTCACAACCGCATAACGAAAGGAAAACAAACGTAATCCTGACTGAGCAATGGCAAGAACATAATAATAGAAATGAGACGGAAGAGTGCAGAAGAATGTAGGACATTCTAAAATATGTTAAATCGGAAGCAAATTAGGTCGTCTACTTGGGTCTTTTTTGGCACATAAGCAATATTTCACTCTTAAATTTCTTCCTCAAATTTCAATTTTTTTTTTATTCAATAAAAATTTTAACATTTAAGAAACGAATTTGATGATGTAATCCTGAATTTTTTTAAAGCTTCGAACAGTAAAAATACTTGAACAAAAAAGAATCAGATTGCGGATGAAGGGAGTAAAAATATAATTGCAGGCGGAGGGTTAATAAGCATCGCGGTAATGAAGCACTTTGACGTCAACTTTGATGTAAAAAAATCGTTCAATCGGATAGCAAAAGGTGGCTCGATCTGTATAAGATGCAAAATGCGAATCGCCAATCACAAGCTTGTTGTATTAATCAATCCAATGCATTAATTTTAAAAGTGACGCTTCAAGATTGGCTAATGCAAGAAGCTTACGATTTGCGATTCGTGTTTTGCGTCTTTTATGTAGATCGAAGTTGACGTTAGCCACGCGCGAGTGATCATCTCTCTCTCTCTCTCTCTCTCTCTCTCTCTCGGGAAGATCAGATCGAGAATGATCAACTTTCGAGATCCACGTAAAACACCTTACCACGTTGACGTCAACATCGTCGGTAGAGGAAGTTTCGTTAATGAGTAAAACGATCGTTCAGAATTGGATTGGGCACAGGCCAGAAGCGCGACGTAGCTGGCCGGTATCGATTCAGTGGCGATGGGCTAACACGCGCGCGGACAATGCGGAGGAAATGCGGCATGTAAGTTGACGTTACGAAACTTTTATATCCTTTTAGCATTCGCGATGAGTCGAGTACGAACTTTACAATCGCGCGACTATGCAAGTTTTCAAAGCTCCTCCCCCTCCCCCCCCCCTCCACTATACTTATGAGGAACGAACTGATTCACAGACTATGCAGTCTATGCATAATATCAAATTTTTCCGTTTTACTGAAAAAAGTAATATAACAGTAATACAAAGTTATAATAATGTAATAATAATATGAATCTCATATTGAAAATGTCCGTAAATTATCCGATCACTTATGTATGACTTTGAAGATTTGCATTTAACGATGAGTATCGATGTTGCTGGCACCCTTCCGCGCGTTAAACGAGATCAGGATTTTACCGGGAAGTTATTAGGTCATGAGAGAGTGATCAGCTGATGCGATGAGATATATCGTGAATCTTTGCAATCTCCAGTTAATAACGATACGAACAGAAAGATAGACGGTACATTCGTTACAGATGCGAGTGTAATTTTACAAATGACAATAGATTAAAGAGAGGAGGAGAGGGAGGGGGGATAACATCTTCTGTTTATCTTTTTTCCTACACCTTTATACGCGATTGCACACTCCGCGATGTTAAGGAAGTTGTAAGGCAAGCGCAATTTGTTAAGAATTACTTGAAAAATTACATATTATTCCAAATTGCATTTAAAAGTAATACAAAAAAATTATAAACAGTTTACCATCTGGATCAAAAGTTATTTCAATAAAAAGTAATATTTTTTAATTTTTTTTTCTCTAATAGAAATATATGGAAATGTATTGTAAAATAATGATGAAAAATCTCAATTTTTTTGTATAGGTATTTTATGAATTTAAGAATATTTATGTAAAGTTACATTGAGATGCAGACATTATGCAGTTGTTAAGTAAATAATAAACAAAATATTTATTTGTTATAAATTAATTGATGAATCTCAATGAAACTTTGCACAAGTCATTTTCAATATTTAAAGTATTTATACAAAAAAATTTAGATTTATAATAAAGTTAGAATTTTCATCATTTTAAAAAGTTTTGTTTATAACAATAAAAATATTAACAAATAAAATTAATATAATAAAAATATTACAAATAAAATAATCTATGAAAATGTGTTGCTCAAATCAAAACAGAACACAACTTCCATATGTATGTAATTTGGTTAAAGCGTAAATATTAATATATGTATGTGTTTTATGCCCTTACAATCTCCTTAAGAAGGAATTGAAATGAGGGAGGAAACGACTAGTGGTTGATGCGACTCGCAGGAAAATAAGCAAAGTACTTGGCGCGGCTTCGTGACGAGATTTTGAGATAACGAATCTTGGTCGATACGGTATGCAATTGCACTTACATATACATATACATGTACATGTATATGTATACATGTTACACGTATATGTTGAAGAAATAATTAAATAAAAAATAGAGCACTAAGTATAGCAGAACTAAGCCACTTAAGACAAGATTGCATTGATATAATAGTTCTACGAAATAGCGTTCAAGCCTAGAGATTCATATTGTATTATTCTTGGTTCTTAATTTCTGAGTAATATCACGAGAACTCGTTCTAATTACTTAGCCCGTTCTAATTGCACACTTTCGTGACAATCGTGCTATGAATTCTGAACA